AACCCTGAGATCTCCCACATGCTCAATAATCCTGAGCTCATGAGACAGGTAAAGGGAATGGAAAGGGACTGAATGGTTAACCTCACTCCCCGACACCTTAAGAGACACACTGGCGACTGATGCTAGTGCCCATGGGTTTTAGCCTCCTCGTCAGCATGCCCGAGGTCGCCGGCTCGAGTCAGGACCGTGCAGTACATACTCGGGGATGGTTCCAGTAGAACAGGCATGACTACATACAGTAGCTTCCCACTGCCCTTTGTTCTGTTTTTTCAGGATTTTCATGCTCTGTTTAAAATAAACTTTTTCTGCCTCCCCTTATCTCACCTCCCAGACCATGGAGCTGGCCAGGAACCCGGCCATGATGCAGGAAATGATGCGGAACCAAGACCGGGCTCTGAGCAACTTGGAGAGCATCCCAGGAGGTTACAATGCCTTGCGGAGGATGTACACAGACATCCAGGAACCCATGTTCAGTGCTGCCAGGGAACAGGTATCAGGGAGGGATGTTTACTGAAATCTTTGTTTGTTTGTGCTGTGTTTGTCTTCTTTGTTAGGATGTTTTCACACATTCTATAACCGTTGTCTTGGATTTATTTGCCAATGTTACATGGCTAACTACATTTTTTGTGTGTGTGTTTTAAAATGGGTTTAATCTTTTTCCCTGTAGTTTGGCAGCAACCCATTCTCAGCTCTAGGTGGGAACTTGGAGTCTGGTGTCCAGCCGTCACGGACAGAGAACCGAGAGCCCCTGCCCAATCCATGGGGGCCACCAAATTCTTCTAACCCCTCTGAGAGTGGAGGGGGCACCACAGGAAGCACTAGCACTACTGGGGGCACCACCCCTAGTGTGTCCAACCCTCTGGGCATCAATCCTGGCAGTCTTGGCAACGGTAAGACTGAGCAAGATTCTCAATACACCTGCATGCCAAGTCATTTATTTACTTACCTGTATACACATATACATAAATAAACCCTGTTCTTTTCTGTGTGCTGCAGGGATGTTCAACAGCCCGGGCATGCAGAGCCTACTGCAGCAGATCTCAGAAAACCCTCAGCTGATGCAGAACATGCTGTCTGCTCCCTACATGCGCAGTATGATGCAGTCATTGTCTCAAAACCCAGAGTTGGCCTCCCAGGTATGAAACAGAAAGATGTGTGTTCACACACTCATACAGATTCAGCTTGCGTTTTAACTCTTTGTTATTCTGATTGTGACCACATATGGGATCGATTTGATTATATTGAACTCTGCAGTTTGTAATGAATTGTAAATAGTAGCATCTAGCTAGGCTTGTTGTGCATTAGGCCTATAAGCCCAGGTATTTAGTGCATACTCAACAGAGGGGATAAGCTCACTTGCATTTGCAGCAAATTAGTAAGAAAGAATAAACAACACAGCTCTGACTTGATTGGTTCTAATAAACAATGCTGTCTATACAGCAAATCAGAACATCGTTACTGGGGAGTGCTGCATACACAGCGACTGGAATACTACAGAGCTTTTATTTCTGTTATTTGACATTTTATTTGTTGTTAGTCCTTTGCTAAGGTGCTAAAGCCTTTATAATTTAAATATCAACTCCAGCGAGTAAGCAGCATGGCCAGATGTGTAATGACACATTATCATAACTGTCATTCTTTCTCTCTCTGTACCAGGTTTTGATGAATAACCCCTTGTTTGCCGGAAACCCACAGCTGCAGGACCAATTCAGAGCTCAGTTGCCAATATTTCTGCAGCAGGTATCGCACTCATTTCAGTTTGATAACTCTGTCCTGGATTTTTACATTTTTCTATCGCAGTAAGACACAAAGGCAGTCCTAGTAACATAATAAAAGAAGTATGTTAATTGACACATAAGGGGCAGTATTATAGATATCTGACATAGTTTGCTCCCATTTTTTTATAAGCCTCTAGTCATTTTCTCATAAATCTCAAGACATTTGCCAAGTACGTGTATTAGGCGTGCTTTATTGTTGTTCATTTCTTTATTGTTATTATTTTAGGTATTTAGTAAACAGTACAGTAAATGCAGTCGGTCGAATTAATTAACTGCTAACTCTCTGTTTGGTTGCAGATGCAGAACCCAGAAGCCCTGTCAGTAATGACCAATCCTCGGGCCATGCAAGCTCTAATGCAGATCCAGCAGGGTCTACAGACACTGCAGACAGAAGCACCAGGCCTCATGCCCAGGTAAACTCACACAGATACACGTAAACATGTAACTTTTGTTTTGTATTTCTTTTCCCCAACTTCTGTTTTTTTCTTTTGGCCTAGTTTGATGTCAGGTGGAGTTCCTGGCATACCCACAGGTGGAGTTCCTGGCATACCCACAGGTGGAGTTCCTGGCATACCCACTGGAGGGGGCATGCCCACAGAGAACCCGGCCTCCTCACCTAGCAGTGCGGGAACAAACGCCACACAGCAGCAGCTGATGCAACAGATGCTGCAGATGTTTGCTGGAGGAGCTGGAGGAGGAGGAGGAAGTGCAACGGTACACACATGCACTGATATTAAACCCTTTACACCCGCACACCTGTTTTTTTTTATTTTTATAAATGTTCCATTAATTTTCCCCCTGCAGACCCAGACCCCAGAGGTGCGATTCCAGTCCCAGCTGGACCAGCTGAGCGCCATGGGCTTCATCAACCGCGAGGCCAACCTGCAGGCCCTCATCGCTACTGGAGGAGACATCAACGCCGCTATTGAGAGACTGCTGGGCTCACAGCCCTCGTAAAGACATACAGTACATACTGACACACAGACACGTGCATACATACATACCTGACTCATAAAAATACCCAGCATCTACAGAGAACCAAGAGAAATTTAAGTGTATTGTCCCAAACTTTACAGAAGAAACTTGGGCAGGATCTGTAAGACCCTCATTCTACATGCGTTCTCAGATCATTCCCTAGTCCCCATACTTTCTCTTTTTGCCGTCGTCCAACCAGACCTCTGTCTCAGAGTGCTGCTGTAGAGCCGGACTGAACCACTCTCAACTTGAGGGGCGTTCTGGTGCAGAGCGAAGGAGCGAAAACCTCTCCTGAAAAGGGATTCCCAACCATTTCTTCATTCACAGTTTTCTTCACATAAAACTGGAGTCGATTGTTGCAGATAAACATTTACATAATACTGATAAAACCCATGTGATGTGATTGGCTGTTGGCTCTGTTTCACACATGGCCATTGTGCGGCAGTTTGTTAGCATTTATCTAGCAAATCAATACATGAAATTTTTCTGGTATAAAGGAAGATATTTTGTCCATACAGACGTTCAACCTCATTCCTCCCCTTTTCTCCGCTCTTGACATTTTACATAAATATCTGTTTTGGCTCAAAAACTTTCACTATTTATTGCAAGTGCTTAAGTGACACCCTCCACACTTCCCTAAACTTGTAATTTGTCATTCCAGATGAAAGTGCCCACTCACAGGTGCACAGTGTCTTTTCCTCCTGAGGCACCACTGCTGTGCCTTTTATCCTTTCCTGCCCTTTGAGAGCATTGCTGGCAAATTACACCCCCACCCCACCCATACTCACCCCATTCAGTGGGTTTTTCAGAAACTCCAAATAAATTCTACACAGCATCATCCAGCATCAACTATAACCATAATCAAATATCACGTAGCAGCTCCAAAGCAGAGGGTGCTGCTAAAATGAATATGAATGAAACAAAACAAGCTTTCCTTTCATTTTAATCTGATTTATTCTTTTTATTTTTATTTTCCTTTTTTTTTTTGAGGTGCAGTTAGTACCTAGAGATGATTATGATTTGTCTCGCATAAAGTAAACGTGGAAATCAAGTGAGTAAAGAAATAATGGAAAGGCTTTAAAAACAATTCTGGTATGGTGGCACCATACATTTCTAAAATCAAGTTGTAGGTTGTGTCTTTTTTTTTTTTTTTTCTTTTTTTTTTTTGAAAATCTCAGCATTGTAGTTGTGGTAACCTTGGCAACTGCTTCTATAGCTTTGCTTTGTCTGTTGACCTCAGCTAGAGAGAAAAAAATCCATCTCCCAATTGAACATGTTGAAACTAACTTTTAACAGTACTGTACTAAAAAAAAATAAAACATGGTCAAAAACAGTCTACGCCCTGTGTGTCAGTTGATTATAGCCTTGGGATGGTTATTCAGTTTATGGTATGCTGCTGTTTTGTTTAGTATGAAAATGTTGCAAATTGATAGGTAAGATTAAACAATCTGTGTGTGGGGAACATGTGGTCATTTAAAGGCACTTTTGTTTGGTAATTATGGTAACACTTCAGATATACTACTGTACTCTATTTTCCCAATAATACCCAACAAGATTTCTGGAAAGGTGGTAAATTGGTATTAATTATAAGTAACTTTGCAGAACATGCAGAACTTTGTGGGAAGCATAAAATCGAACAGATTTGGAGTATAATGTTTTGATTCTAAAGTGATATATTTGTTTGGAAATTAACCAACTAAACTCAAAACAACTGTCTCTGTCTTCACTGTAATTAGTACCAAATTGCACAATTCTTTCCAGGAAATGTTTTAGAAAACTATTAGGTAATTCTGTATGCACCTGTAAAATAAAGCCTTAACCAATTGAGTGATGAGTCAATATAACCATGACAACCTTTTATTATTACCATTCAAGCTTAAGATCTAAATTTGCTGGTTACAACTGTATTAAATGTTTCTGTGCTATATTCCACGAAGCATTAAAATGATTACAATGTACAATCAAAATCAATCAAATCAAATCAAATTAGTCCACCGGGCCTAATCTATCCCACATCCCTGTAGGCATTAGACAGGTGGCAAAATGGCGTCGTGCTCTACTACACAGATCCACCTGTTGGGTGAGGTTTATTGTCATACAAATGAGAGTGAAAGAGTGTAGGAGAGGGTGGAGTCTGCTCCTGATGGCTGCCTGCGAGTCGTTCTACTTGTTCCACCTGACACCCCCCCCCCCCCCACCACCACCACCACCACCACCACACACACACACACACACACTCCCAGCGCTCCCTTGGGTGTCAGCTGATGAGGGAACGGCAGGCCACAGGACTCCTGCCTGCCCGTCTGTCTGTGCTCAATCAGTAGTTACCCCTGTTCACAGATAAAGAAGGAAGCAGGTGGGTGCAGCTGAACCTGTTTTTCTCCTCTCTTTTCACCCTTACTCGCCACACTGGAGGGAACGAGGAGTGAGGCTGTGTTTGTTTCGGGAACTAATATTGAAAGTGGCTTCAAGATATTTTCTACCTGAAACAGGAACCCGTCACTACTGAATGCAACATGGGGTCTGACGAGTCGTACAATTTTGTCTTCAAGGGTGAGTCGTGTTTACTTGAGCTGTGTTTGTGGAAGAAGAGCTAAAACATCCATAGTTTGTTTTACTTCTGTAGACGTCAAAGCCACCAGGTGCAACTCTAACTGCCTGCTCTAATTTCTGAGGAAGAGAGAGAAGGAAGTAAAGCAGGAAGAGATAGCTTTCTGTACATTTGACTGTAAACCATTTGAACTTTGACCTGTTAAAGAAACATATGATCTTACATTTCCTGCTTTATTCAAGAGACTGTTATGTGGTTTGTATGCGTATTTCCCTGATTAAAATAAACAGCATATGATTTTCCATTCCATTCATGCCATAGTTAGGTCAGCCACAGGGTAGATCTGCCACGTTTAAAATATGTCACTGTGTGTGGTGTCTGGTGGGGGTGACAGAAAGTCTTCATAAGGAGAGGAATGATATCTGATTCATTACAGAAAGTTACAATTTTTACAAAATAACAGTTACATTTTTGGACTTAGTGTGTAACAAAACTGCCATTAAAAAGCCATTAAAGTATATCTTCTTCTTCTTAAAACCTCCTTCTGTGGCAATCAGGAAAAGTGAATGAATTAACTTTTGACTTATCCTGTCTGTGCCCGTTTAGTGGTGTTGATAGGGGAGTCTGGCGTAGGAAAGAGCAACCTTCTGGGTCGCTTCACTAAGAACGAGTTCAATCACGACAGTCGCACCACCATTGGCGTCGAGTTCAGCACGCGGACTGTTCAGCTGGACAACTTCACCATCAAAGCCCAAATCTGGGACACAGCGGGGCTGGAGCGCTACAGGGCTATCACCTCAGCGTGGGTACACACACACACACACATATATATATATATAGATAGATAGATAGATAGATAATAAACAGGGTGAGACAGTAACAGTGACACCTTGACACACATCAGACATTCCCAGTTTTCATCAGGCTCCCAGTTTTTATTGTGAACTCCAACTCGTGTATGTTTGGTCTCACCTGGCGGACTCAGGTATTACAGGGGAGCAGTTGGAGCACTTTTGGTCTACGACATCAGCAAGCATCTGACCTATGAGAGCGCAGAGCGATGGTTGAAGGAGCTGTACGACCATGCAGATCCTCACATCGTGGTCATGCTGGTGGGAAACAAGAGCGACCTGGAGACAATCAGGACTGTGCCCATGGAGGAGGCCAAGGACTTTGCAGGTCAGTTAATAAATGTCGTCTTTGTTTTTGAATGTCCAGTCATGATGTCCCCACTTTAAATGAGCGGAAAGTGTATTTAATACTCTGTATTGTATGTCTTGCTCTTCGAATACGTCAGTGTTTATTGATTTTTATCTTTGCCTTCCTTGCTGTCCAACCCAGAGAAGAAGGGTCTCATGTATATGGAGACATCAGCGTTGGACTCCACCAATGTAGAAGCTGCTTTCAGTGAAGTCCTCACAGGTACAGGAGCTTAGTCCAAACACATGCCCTTGGTTCATCTGGCTTCTTTGAATTACCTCACTGACATGTCTTCCTTTTTGCAGCCATCCACAAGAAGGTGGCCAGCAGGGAGGTGACCCGTGGCTCCATCAGCGCTGTAACCCTGACCAACTCCATCAGACCCAGCAGTGAGGCGCAAGAGGAGCGCAGAGGCTGCTGCAAGAACTCCTAACAGACTGCCCTGTCCACGTTGATCCACCTTGACTGTCGTTCAAGCTTAAGCATGACATCATTCACTCCCAATTTTGAAGAGCGAGTTACCTGCTTCACACTAGAGCAGTTAATGTACAGACCTCTTTAAATATAAAAGCTGTATAGTATATAACTCAATAACAAAATATTTTATACATTTTACTTTTTGTGGTGGCGAATGGGTGCTTTTTTACTATAGATAGCTGTGCATTTATTTTCCTTTATATTCATGTTTTTAAAGAGCCGTTGTAAATTGGACTGCTTTCATAAAGGAATGCACTGGGATTCATTTGGAATAAATTATTTATGTTATTCTGTCTGCATGTAATTATCTCACAAAGACATGAATTTATTATATTCGTTAGACACATCTAAACTAGATGAGGGAACGGGAGAGAGGGCTGATGGGAAATAAAGACGTGTGGTGGAACAAGAACTCAAAACCTTTACTCAAGGAAAACTAAACCTGGTGTTCGGACCCCTGCAACAGTCGCAAAGTGATAACTGATGTAGAAAATAAGAAAACTAAAAGTCCTCTGATATCGTGTACAATTGTTTTTTTTGTTATTGTGAAATCCAGTAATTTTACCTCTTCAGATGAAACAGTATAAGAAGAACAAAAAAATTCCCTCATGGACTGAACATCTGACGTCTCTCAGAAGTCAGTTGGGTGGTACCAGTAGACACTGTTTCATATTATGAGGTCACACTCAAAAACAACAGGAAATGCTTTACTCTCAGGAGCTGAAGGTGTTTTGTCTCTTCTCCGTCTGTAGATGGCAGTGCTGATGCTGCAAATTGAATTAGAAGAATCCGTACTGTGGAGTGCAATGCATTTGTTCCCCCTCTCTCCTTTCCTTATTAACTCCAGTATATATCATACCACCATCTGGTCACACTGTTTATTCCATTAATGATCATGATATTAAGCTCATGTGGCGCTGCAGTGTTGTCGCCATGGTAGCAGCCTGTTATGCCCTCTTTTACAAGCTAATCAGTGTGCCCATTAATTAATACTTTTCTCACAAATAGAATGTTCATTCACAGACCTTGTTGAGTGTGTGTATGTGTGTAAGTAGATAATCTCCAGATTATGGATGTAATTGGGCAGGCTCATATGGAACAACTAAGAGAATATAAATCTACAGCAGTGGTAGTTAATGACATTTTGGACAGATAGTGCTCTATCTCTGGCTCACACATGTGCATGAGAAACCTTTACTTGTGTGTGTGTGTGTGTGTGGGGTGTGTCCCCAAGCAAGATTTCTCTGCCAGAGATCATTTTGCTGCAGTGAAATGACCACAAACGCATTTATTAACTTTCTCTTATGAAGATATGATAGGGAAGGCTCTGCACCGGCCAATAAATGTTTAATTATTTCCTGAGAATGAAGATATTTTTATGGGCTGAGAAAAAACATCTGGTGTAATAACCCACGCCGACTGAACAGGCTGCACAGGTTGAAAGCCTGGTCATGATATCTGTAAATTTCCCTCAGCCTAGAGGTAAGTTTGCATTAAATGATGAAATGAAAAAATTACAAGCTCTCTGGTCTTTATTAGAATGAGGAGAGTTAGATTTTGTACCACATTACAGATTCTCGCAAATTCCCCCTGGATCTGTTTGTATGTGTGTGTGTACGCCCTTCTGACCTCGCCCTAAAGATAAAGCTCTCACGGTGGTTGGAAAGACTTGGATTTAGCGCATACACGTGGTAGCCATTACCCACATGCTACTTGACATGTGTAGCCTGTAAAAAGTGTGTCTGAAAGCAGGACTCATGATGAGCGGCACCCCTGACCCCCCAACATGGAGCTCTTTATCTCCCATTTACGAGACCCTTTTCCTCCAGCACTTTGTGGGGAACCTTTTCAGCCAAGAATTTACAGTCACAGTATCACATCTGTTTGGGTATAATTGTGACCTTTATGTTGTTATGACCTTTCACCACATGGAGCTTGGCTCTTTTCTAAAACCCACACTTATGGAATCCATCATCTCTATAGCCTTCCTATTTCTCCTCCCCTCTCCCAATTCCTGATTCTACCGACTCTTGACTTTTTCCTGTCAGGTTTTACAGAGCTGCTTTTTTTGTTGTTTATTTCAGCTTCCTGTGTTTGTTTGCTTGTTTATATGCACAATTACCAGAGGCTGACACAAGACCCTATAAACTTCCATTCACATACGCACAAGATCTCAAAAAACATCTGCACTCTTGTCTGTTTTTTCTCTGTGCAAATTTATCCCAGTCCCTCAAACCCAGAAGATTCCTGAAACACACACACACACACACACACACACACACACACACACACACACACACACACACAAAGGGGTATTTTGTGTTTTTTTTGTAGCAGCTTTGTGACAATGCATTTTCAGCTAATCTAATGGTTTTAAGTGGAAGAAATATGTTCTCAACCCGTAACCCTTACAAAAAAGTGGAGGTCACTTCATAGCCAAAATTGTGATTTGTTATCATTGTCCCAACATGGGTGATGTGTGTGCGCATGCCTACATCAGTGCATGCAAACACAAATCAAAGTCCATAACAGCCGGCATTCCTCCATCCATCTTGCGTCTGTCACTGCATGTCTGTGGAGAGCACATATTTTAAGGTTTTCACGTCAGCGGACATCAACACATAAATAGAATCAAAGTCCATGCACACTGATTACCATGGCAATGTTGTTATGGCGACCAATCAAAGGGAGAGGTGAGCTGATGGGTGGCTGTGCGTTCAGACTCTCTACTCCCCAAAATGCGCAGTAGAGAGAGAGAGTTGAGAATGAGCTGAGAGGTGGATTATTGTCTGGAGGTGATTGGAGAGAACATTTTAAGAGCGTCTTTATCACCCCTGCTTGAAGACTTGAGCTGTTTAGTCTCAGCCCAGCTTGTTATGAGATTAAAACATGCTTAAAAATCCGTTTCTATCACTGTGCGTGTGTGTACATTTGTGTGCCTTCTTGTGTTTAGTCAATTAACTTCTTTTAAAGCCTCTAATTTCATGAGGGAGCCTGTTGTGCTTGGCCGCCAGCATTCAAGGCCCAGCTGGGGTCACAAGATTCCTTTCCGGCGTGCAATTAAACAGGTTGCCAGCGACAAACAGAGCCGAGAGCTTCAGCATCGGTTCACTTAACATAATATTACACACCTCAGTTGCTATGACAGCCACGGTGTTTGTGAGTCTGTGATGCTAAACGGCTGCAGGTGTAAAATGATGCAGGGAGCCATTATTTGAGTGCCGCTTTCAGCTGAAACCTGAGAGCAGAAACAGTATAAAATAACATATCTCCAGTGTGACAGGTGAGCTTTCTGCTGAGTCTACATTTGTGCTTAAGTGATGAGATCTGGAGAGCAGGAGGCAGATCATGTTTTAGTCAGTAAATTACAACTTTTTTTCAGCCACAGTAGCTCAATGAAGTCAGGAGACATGACTTTTGCCTGGTGTCATGCACTGACCACAAATCCACTGACCCTGGTCCAACGTTTTACTTTCCAGAGCAAAGTTTCACACCATTTTGATGGTGATTTTTGGCACAATTAGTACACTTGAAGACAGAAGACAGCTGGCTACATCTAGAATATGAAACCCAGAGACTCCAAATGTGTGAAACTTTACAGCTGCCCCTTTCCAAGGGAGGGGGAAAAAAGGCAATAATACCACCCGGCCCCTAAAAGTGCTCTGCTCTTTCTCAGAGGAAAACAAAATGTCTGGCAATACAGTAAGTGACAAAAGGGGCGTTAAATTGAGTTTGTGAGTAGATATTTCCATATGTGTATTTTTCTCCTCCTCAGCTTTTGTTCCATGTGGCTCCTGGACGGAGGTACTGGTCCCTTCCAGATGACATGCCTCAAGCCAGGAGATCCTGAGCATGTATTATTTCATTTCACTCTGCGGTTTTGTTGTGCGAGTCCTTGTAGTGAGCGCTGCAGTTTCTAAGCAGAAATGTGCACCTATTAAATTAGCCTACTTGTTAGTTCAAGCACACAGAGGCAGTGTGTGCGCATTTTGAGGACAACAGTTGTTGGATTGACGGCCTTCCTGAGCTGGAGTTGTAGATTGTGGGAAAACACATGTTGTTGGGGGGGGGGGGGGACACGCTTGGGCTTGATGACAAGAAAGTTGAACCAAGGTCACTGCCCAGAGATACAGCACACTTAAACTCTCTACAGATGTGTGTGAGTGTGTGAGCAGGACATAAAGACAGGCATCCACATAGAGTCATTTTTCAGTGTGAATATGTGCATGCATATATGCATGACATAAGTCTGCATAAATGCACGACAGCCTGTGATGGTTTTAGCTGGACTGTGCATGTTGTGTGTAGTTTCATCTCTATGCAGTGAAAGCTTCAGGACATCTAAAAATACCATGGGCCCCAGAGGAAAGTGAGGATGGGAAACCATTTACGGAACCATAAGAAGAACCCAAGGCTCCTTCCAGAAACAGGAGCCCAGCAGGGAAGCCCGCAGACAGGAGTGGCCTGGATGCGAAGGATTTCCCCTCATTCTTCTTAAGCATGCAGTTTTGTTTATGACATTGCCCAGAAAAGCTGAATAAGTAACTTTGTTAAAAAGGGGATTCCCTTCTTTCTTTTATATTTAGTCACACACTGTATAAAACCTAAGCCTGCTTCTTGCACTCTGTATATTGGCATTGAGGGTTGCACTATAGGGTGGTGCTGTACAATCATTAAGGTCATTTCCGTCTATTTACTGAATTTAAAACAGATTTTTGGGAGATGTAGATACAGGGACAGACTCGCACACGAATTGTGAAGAGTTGAGGGGTGGGGGGGGGGGGGTGGGGGGGGGGGGGGGAGCTAAGAGGAGGAGGGAATCCAGATGGGAAGGAGCAGCATCGGCGCCGCAGGAGAGAGATAGAGAGGAGAGACGGAGTGTGGAGGGGAAGAAGCAAAGCCTCATCTCTGCCCGGAGATGAAAGCTACTTTTATCTCAGACTGAACAATCGGATTTCCAATTGGTGCCGCCATGTATTTTGGTACGTAAACGATGCGTTTTGCTTTTTTATCTTAAGAGTTTTTTGTGGTTGATCATGACGCGGCGGAGGCACTTGTTGCTATGTTGAAATGGATGTGAGCTTTGAGAAGTGGAACAGACCGAGGCAGCGATGGTGCTGCTTATTTAATGCATCTACAGATCACGGTCTCTATATATTCTTTAATAACAAGAGAGATAGCTTATAAATATAATATAGCTCACAGAAAACAGAGAAAACATTTAACTTCACTATGAATTGTTATATGCATGCTTATTTTGTTAAATGCCTTATACTATATAGGCCATTTCTCACAGGATTATAGGAAAAACACTGTGCATGGACAAAGTAAGACAAATTGTCATTGCTTTAGATTATTACAAGTTATGGAAATTACATTTAGTCATGACCAGTCGCTTTTTTAGGCTACTTCAGTTGAAGGGTCTAAACATTACGTGTCTGTCATCTCGTCCACGTGTTTCTTGTATCTCATAAAATCCTTACAATCATTTCTCACAATTAAGCACATGAACATGTAAAGAGGGTGTGGCTGCAGCCCCCCCTGCTGGCCAAAGTGAAATCATAATTTAAACAGGCTAATCTCTGATTTTCAGCGTTTCAGTGCTTGGTGGATTATGGTGCGGTTCCAGTGTGAAATATGTTGTAAAATTAGACTGCCTAAACGCTGATATGGTTTTCTACTTTTAAAAGTAGACTATCTTCCTGCGTGCCTTCACCTCAGCTAAAAGTTTAGAAGAGTTGCTAAACATTACTGGTCAAAGTAAGTTCTTGGCACACAATAGGCCTAAGCTTTACGAGGCTGCATGTTATGTGTAGGCCACATCCGCAGGCGCATTTATGCACAACTGACGCTGCCTATGGTTTTGTGATCCCGTGTTTTGATATTTTGAGGCTCGTTGCTTCGTGCTGGTGTCGGCGCACGGCCACCAGTGCAGAGGGTGTACCGATGCCAATCCAGTGTAGTCAGGTATCTCTCGTGCTATTACCCGCCTGCAGGAGCAGATCAACAACTCAACGGTCAGCAGGTTACATCACACACAAGTTTTATTCCAATTATGGCATTACCATCAGACAGACAGAATAAAGATTAATATTCTAACTAAATTCGAAATTGAAGGCCTTTCCTTTACTCTGGTGACGCTCTTTACAGCCGTCTGAAGGCAGCAGGTAGCCAACCTAAGCTTCCCTCTTCCATCTGCTGTCTAACTGTCTAAACCACAATTACGCACCAGATCTGCTGGTTACATTTTGTGTAACAAGCACACTGTTGCGAAATAACCACAGAAACCTCCATGGCTGTGTGCACACCAAACTGATCGGTTAATTATTCTCTACATTTCCATCCAAAACATCGGGTAACCAGGGCAACGGCTGCGCGCACCTTCTTCATTTTAAGGATACTGACCGAAGTGTAGCCCAGAGCTTCGCATCCATGTATCCACTAACCTACAATCGACTTGTGGACCAAATGAGATGAAAGGAAACGGTCTGCGCAAATAAAGTAGACAGACAGCATTAACACCCAGCCTACAGTATTTGAAATATGACGCATCATTAATAACATAAAGGATAAAGGATAAAGTAGCCAAGTAGTAGGACTAATGAGCGCATAGCCTAGGTGATAAGCCTGTATGTTAAAGATTTGATTCTGAGGTTTCTGACCTTGGTCTTCTCTATTTATTTTTTTTATTTTTAAAGGGAGGGCCTACTTGTAGCAGGATGTAACACGGTATAGGGCCTAGTCTAATCCACAGTAATTTAGTGGTTTGTTAGGTTTGTGTATTAGGTGAATGTAAATCTAACAGAGTTTGCAAACATGTGCAAAATGGACTGTGAACTAAGTGCACAGAGTTTTGGTGGAGGTGGAGTGAGAAATCGCCTATATGAAATTTGAAAGATGTGGTTATTGAATGCATGTTGTGTGTCTTAGCAATGACATGCGATCCACAGTTTAGTGCACGCTGGCTGCTCTTGTGCTGACTTTGTGAAGGGTTTCGGGAAAAGTGAAATCGCCATTGGTATTTTTTTGGAACCAATTGTACAACAGAACGGTAGTCTACAATGCGCGTGCATGTAATATATCAAGCACGTATCCAGGGCAGCACACATACTACTCAGGCCAAACACACACAGCATTACTTGCGCACACACACTTACACGGCTTCAGCCAGTTAAAGGCAATCAGACTAATGGCAGTGCGGATGGGTGTGTTGTGATTTTGATTATGATGATTATACATGTGGGCTGGTCCTGAATCAAACTGTAATCAAGCTCAGAGAACACGCAAACTAGAAAACAAGCTTGCATAATCAGGACTCAGCAGCACAAACAAGATGCTTATCAAGCAGCACTTTTAGTAATGGCCTCATTGAACCAGAAATATTTGTGTGTGTCAGGCTGCAAGTGTGCAAGTTTAATTTTGATCAAATAATGTGTTTTATGATGTGGATGATTGTTTGTCTGTGTGTGTGTGTGTGTGTGTGTGTGTGTGTGAGTAGCCTATGTGCACACACCCTGTTCTGCACCTGTGTGGAGTGGCCTATTTGATTAACCTAAGAAAGCTCTCACTTGACTGCTTGTATGATAGGCTTTGAAATTAATGTTTATTTAGGAAAACAGATGTTAAATAGGCCTCATTATCAGTTCTATAACTGAAACAAGGAACTTATTCAATTAGTTGATCATCAGAAAGTTAATCAGGCAACAATTTTGACAGTTGATTAATGATTTAAGTAATTTTTTAAAGCAAAAATGTCAAAAATTACTGGTTCCAGCTTCGCAAATGTAAGCATTCACTGTTTTTTGTACTCTATAATGATAGAGTTTGAGTTTTGGCATAGTAATCACTAAAATTAATTATTAGTTGCAGCCCTAATGAGTTCTCATTTCAGACATTATAACAACATGGTGGAAGAATCAATATACAGTGTAATTATACTCACAGATGCAATTATCATCAGTGGTGGAAGAAGCATACTTTATTTTGGTAAATGTACAATATTATTATCATCAGAGTGTCAAAAGTAAAATAGCAGATTATGTAGAATAGCAACTATCAGAGTGTATATTATTATAGGCCTATAATATATATTATTGGACTTTTACTTAATAATGGGATTGCACTCTAATTGTAGCACAGTAGATATAGGACACAAAGGATATACACTCAAGTACCTGAAATGTATGTACATACCTTCCACCTCTGCTTGTCATACCAGTTCCACATTTTAATTTTCTGCCACTGTGGATGAGTGGGTGTTTCAAACTAACACAAGAAAAAGATAAAGTGATGTTTGATCTAAGTGAACCTTTCCTTTTTTTTTTATCACTGCCAATATAGATTAATGAAACTCAAATGAGATCGAGGTCCACGCAGATCAAACATCATTTTATGTTTTTTCCAGTTAGGGGTTAATTGGGTACACAGTATATTTTGTCAATTCATGACACCAGAATGTGTTTACTTATAGGGACCAAATCACATTAATCTATAGTGGCAATAGTGACATAAATGTTAAAAAAACAATACAATCAGACACGTTTCTGAGCAGACAAACTTGAGCACAGTGTCTTCATCTAGTTATCTGTGGTGTAGTAGCTTCAGTTATCATCAGATTATTTCTAAAAAGAATCACCTCGTCTGTATATAATCATTCCTCCATATGTCAATCGATCCACCTGTCTCCTCCCTGCTGTGCTGTCTCCTAGGTAATGTGTGTCACAGCGCTCTGCCGCCGCTGGTCCGTCCCACGCTGGGCAGGACCCAGCCCTCCCCAGATGCGAAGGCCCTCCTCCCCTTCCACCTGTTGCCTGGATTCACTGACGTGAGTACTGTCAGTCATCGCAGTTGTCACGGCAACCACGCTCTCACCAACTGTACTCTCTTGCCTTAAAAAAATCAAAATCAAAACCCTAATCGTTCACTTTTAGCATGCTGCTTTCTGCTGCAAGTGGAGGAGTTTATTTTGTGGGATAGTGTACAGTTATTTTTCAATACACAGATGCATGAGCGAGCTGCCCACACCATTCCAAATATATCACATCTGATGCTGAGAGCTGTGACATTTCCACACATCCTGGGGGGTGGAGCTGATTCCTTGGTATTCCTCACACAGCTTTTCTTAGAGCTGTCCACCCTGGTCTTTGTGAAGGATGAAGGGGGAGAGAACTGAAGCTGGCCAAGTCCGAGCCCCGAAGAGAGTTGACGTGTCAGGCTGAGCTAAGGGCTGCCGTCGGGTTGACAGGGGGATCGTGCTGTATATGTCTTAATATACTCCTCTGCTATGTATGAAATCATTCTTCTGGCCTGAATCAATTTAGTATAAGTAGTGTAGCTTGACTACAAAGCTGAGATTTATTTACAGACAATACAAAACTGTGTCTAACACCTTGACGCCAGAAGTTGAGCCAAGAAAACATGATGTGTGTTTTTTTGTCCTCACACTTTCACTAATACCAACCCTATTACAAAATGAAGGGCCCGTCTCTAAAGTCTGATGTGCTCTTAGATGTGTGGAAAAGAGAAATAGAGATAGATGGAGGGTTTAAAAGAAAGAGAGGATTGCATGCATGTGTCTGCATTTGATAGACTGTTAGTGTGCAGTGTAGATTTATTCTGTGTGTGTGTATGTGTGTGCCTGACCTCTCTTGCTTTGTCAAAAAGCCATTCTGCCACCTGAGGAGAAATCAGGTCTTGGCACCCTCCATTCCACCTCACTCTCCTCTCTCCAGCCTTCTCATCAATCCTTGCATTGCTCTTGCTCCATCACCCTCTTCACTTCAGCTCTCTTCTTTTGTATTTTCCACTTTGTCTCCTGCTGTCATCTTCCCCATCTCTCCCATCTCACCTTGCACTCTTTCTTGCTTTCAACAGTTTACAACTCCTTCACTCTTTTTCTTCCTCTGCCGCCGCCACCGCCGCCGCCACAAACAATCAATATACTACCATTTTTGGTCAGATTACTACACACAAAAAAATATTGGTTCTTCAGTGGTTCTTTGGGGTGGTTGAGGTGCTATATAGCACCGCTACCATGTAAAGAACCAGCTCAGCCCAGTATGGTTCTTCAGCGGTTCTTTGGGGTGGTTGAGGTGCTATATAGCACCGCTACCATGTAAAGAACCAGCTCAGCCCAGTATGGTTCTTCAGCGGTTCTTTGGGGTGGTTGAGGTGCTATATAGCACCACTACCATGTAAAGAACCAGCTCAGCCCCTGTATGGTTCTTAAGAGGTTTTATAAACTCTCTTTTTAGTTTTTTGAAAAACCAACAACACTTAAAGAATGTATATTTCTTGATGATAACATATTAAAGCAGTGGTTCTCAACCTTTTTTCCCGCAAACTCCCCCAACATGTCTAAGGAAATATTCCAGGGCCCCCACAGGTGACTCTTTGACCTCAGAAAAGCATTGGCTTTATGTTTTGTAGGCCTAAATTAAACATTCTGTAAGTAAAGTTTTAAATAATTTACATAGGCTGACATAATTATTATTTTTTTAAAAGCAAGCCTCTGCCTTACTCTAAAGCACTGCACTCAAATATTCAGTAGCCTACTAATTTCCAATGTGGCCTTTATGTCATATACAGGACATAAGAATAATTCCACACATTCCCAGAATAAAAATATTAATTCATAATGAAAAGCATTCTCAATATCCTCAGATTCAGATTGAAATTACCATTGTAATAAATTAAATACATTTTATTTATCTAGTGCCAATTCATAATAGTGAACATTGCACTTTTGATATAAAGCAGGTTTACACCGTAGCCAAATCTTTGTAATAGTATTTACAGAGACCACCATCAAGGACTTGTCATTAAAGTGAGTTTTTGACCCGGAACTACATTTGACCAGAACACGCAGAACAGGCGCTACATAAAAAGAGAGCACGTAGCCCGACCGCAACGATGCGAGCGCGAGAGCGGCCAGAAATTTGGAAACAGAACTGCAACGTTGGACCGTTGGAGTCGTCGGACTCGTTAACCAAATCCAGAACGGGCCGGCTTCAGAGTGACAACAAGCAGACATTTTTGAGGTAAGTGTTTTAGCGCCAGCTGCCACAGAAACAGACTATTAACGTTGAGTTGCTTATCAGGGGAAATCTTTCGTTGGTATTTTCAAACGTTGTGCCGTGTTTTGTAACGTTGATACAAACGTTAAAGATACACTAATGTTCAATAAGATAAGTTAATATTCTGTTGATACGATTAGGCATATTTGTTGCTGCACAAACCATTAAGTGTAACGTTAAGTTAGTGTAACGAGGGTTATTCAATTCTGTAATACTCCCTTTTAATCTCTTTTATATCGCTGATAGTGGTAACAGTCAGCAGATGGTGGTGGGCTAACGGCGGATAACGGCTAACTGTTAGCTAACATTAGTTGACTCAAAGAAGGGATGTTTGTTAGTTCCCATGGTAACGGGCTTTAAAGCTGCGTGTGTAAAGCTGATGATACACGGAGCAACTTTTAGAGCAATCGATTGTTGTAAAGATTACTACCGTAATCCCCCTCCCCCACCGTTGCGCCACCCGCCCCGCACCGCCCCTATCCGTTCAATACATTGTCAGACTTGCCACTACCAAGATTGCCCAGCAACATTGCTCAAAAAGTTGCCCCGTGTATCATCAGCTTAAGGGAGTATTAAATATGAACAACATAAACTTATGAAAGTAACGCAAATGTACACCTTACATCTATCAAATACAGGTAAAATTACTGACAAAATAAAATTACAAGATTTTGCTATCAGACATAGTAATTTAACCATTTAAAACTCAAATTATGTATGTAGTGAACACGCAAGAGGCATATGTTACATTAGCTAGTGTAGCCTTATGTCAAACGATTCTATGCAAGTGCACTGCAATGGAAGCAAACAGTACTGTAAAGTTAGGTTAATTGTTGCTTTAATTTAAGCTATTTATCATTATTTATTATATATATCTTAGTGAATTTGTGAACTTGTATTTTTATAAACTGTTAACAATTTAACATCCCTGCTAGTGTAGCTACTGTTCTTTTTATCTGGTATTTATATTATGTTTATTTAAAGTTAGCAGAAATTATTAATTTATGTTTCTAACTTTTGTCGTCACTAGGCAGCAGATAGGGCTATCGGCTAATATTTATCCTAGTTTTTTAATTTCATTTTTCTCTCTCTTTGTGTCAAACCACAGCGGTGTTTCAGACTGGTAAGTACAGGTAGTGTGCTGATTGCCTCTTTATTTAATTGTATGAGATATGCCTATATTTAATTAATGTCTTTTCTACTTCTTTCATCTTAACATAAGCTCCTTTGGGATCTGAGAGACCCCACAAATGTTGATGTGGACCAACAAATTGTCACACAGCTCTCTGTAACGTGATGGATGACTGTGAAGATGGCAGACTGGAAAAAGGTAAATCTCTGCACTGCTTAGATTTTTAGTGTACCACTGAGTTGACTGACTGACACCCTACATATCTGCCTGAGATCATACCTGTCTGACCAATTACCTACCTGTCTTCCTACATAGCTGCTTCACACACAGTAATAAATATATTTTTAAAAAAGGTATTAGGTAAAACCTTCCAACATGTTATGTTAACTTAATGATTTTTTTTTTTACAAACGAGTTGATCGGGGATAAACATTGTGCTGCAAGCTGTTTCATAATGACACTCATTTTGTCTTATAAATCCAGCGCACCCCTTTTCTTTACAGGGTGGCTCCTGCCCCTCCATAAAAGCACAGACTCCCTCTCAGCCAGGCTGTTGCAAGTAAACTTTAGCTTGAGCCAAGATGACAGGGGTTAAAACTGCTGTAGCTTGCTAGTCACCATAATTAGCTTAAGCCTATGGCATTTTACACTGTCCTGTACAACATAAGCGGGTATAGTTAATAGTTGGATGGATATTATTTTCATACTAAACCAGGTGTGTTCAGTGTTGCTTTACCTGGTCGATACTTATAAAATATCCACTGTGTAATAACATACTAAAACTCTCGTTAATTAAAAATATGAAATGGTATTAAATTTGGCGAAGAACACATCATGACTAATAAATGTGAGATAAGATGTTAATGCTATTGTCCTCTCTTCCCCAGGGCCATGCTTAGACCAACACTCCTGGCATCTCAATACCTAAAATGGCACGTTAAGGCTTCAGGGAAGGTCATCCTATGCAGTGTGACCACATTTGGCTCACACTTGATGGCCAGTTTATCACAGAAGAGAGCGAGGACATCTCGATGGCACTGGGCATCCTCCTGTGTGTATATTTTGTTTGGAATCCAGCATCCTAAAGGACTGAAGAAGACACTGACCTTTTTGGAGTGTGTTGTATTGAAATTAAGGATGCAGTCGGACTTCCTGTCACAGTAAAGAGTATACAAATTAATCTGTGAGTGGACTGTAGGACTCAATATTCTCTCTTTCTGGATGGCCTGTTGAAGAGAACAAGGACTTTTCCACTGAACTGGGCCTCTTCCAGTTTCTATTTTTGAAATCCTGAAGGACTTACAAACATGTTATTGTGCTGTTGACAATGAACGATACTGCAGGACTTCAACTGCATTAGCCAGTTGCAGTAATTTCACAAATGTACTAATTTAATGTTAAAAGACTATAGATTTTCTAAATATAGTGAAGAACTAAAGTAGGCTTATACAGGAATAGGCCAAAAAGAGACCTGCCTACTGGGCTACAGAAAATGTTTGTTTTTACTTATTTTAAAATGTACACATTATAGCTTGTTATCTATATAAGGAGAGTATATTGTGATGTTGTGTATATATTTATCTATTTGTTTTTTTCCTGACTTGACAACTCTTTAATTTACTTTCTGTTGAAATAATACATTAAAAGGTTTTAAAAGGGTAATTTTGTTTCTCAGTAAGTATTTAGTACAGGATTTGGAATTTTTTGAACCACCATTTGGTAACAAATGATTATCATAACACAAATTATGAAGTTGTCATTTAAAAGCATATTGACTTGTCTCTGGTAGTATCTGGCATGACTTAAGGGCCCCACTAGCTCAAAATGTAAAAACTTTTTATAGAATCTAATGGTTCTAAATAGCCCCATTTGACAAATGTGCTATAAAACTGAAAAAAAAAAAGGAAAAAAAATAGGTGCTATATAGCGCCAGAAGAGGTTCCCCTATGATTACGAGCCAAAGAACCACTGTTGGGTACTGTTAAGCACCATTTTTGTTGGAGCAAAGTAGTGCTATATGGCACCTAATGGTTCTACATAGTACCATTTGACAAAGGTACCTTATAGCACCTTTGAAGATTGGTGCTATATAGCACCGAAACTGGTTCCCCTATGATTACGAGCCAATGAAGCACTATTAGTGCTATTTAGCACCATTTTATTTTTTTTGTGTGTAGCTTTTACTTCTCTTGGCTTCCTCGTGGTGGACCTTTTTACTCAAGTCAGAAAAACTGTCTCACTTAAAATTTACCACATTTTGAAAGATTTCTTCAAATCGCTCACAAAACCTTCGCCTTGCTCAGTCACATCTCCTCACCTATTTATAACTCTCTCTCTTTTCTTTCATTATATTCCATTTCCAACACTTCTCCTGCTCTACAGTTATAGTACATGAATAATGTCAGGCCTGTAAAAAGTCACTGACCTTTACAATGCTTGCTATTGATTGGTTGTAATTTTGGAGATTTATGGCATTTAATTTTTAACGTAATGTTAAATGTTTTCTATACAATTAAGTTGGAAAAGGAGCGTTGGCCGCATGCCTGAAATAAAATGCAACATGCTCACTGAAAGCCCTTTCTGCCACCTCTGTAGACTTTAGCGCAGCATGCAACTGTTATTTATTATTTATGTTAAAATTAATCTGCTGATTTCTTTACTTTTTTCTGCAAAATATATATAATTTCCCAGAGCCTTGTGTAACTTATTCAGTACCGTGTTTTATCCAAAACCCAAAGGTATTCTGTTTGCTATCATATAGGACAAAGAAAAGCAGGAAACCCCCCGCTGGCGGCAGTGGAGCCTGAGAATATTTTATCCTTAAAAAAAGTATTCATTATCAAAATAGTTTCTGATGAATTTCTGTCAATCAATGAATCAGCTAATCATTTCAGCTCTACTGTGTGTGACACCTTTGAGGTGTAGATAACACCTCAAAGGCTTCCTAAGTTAGTTTTTTTATTTAAATATTGTTAAACAGAAACCTATGGTAGGACTTAATGTGCAATATTTTGTCTGCAAACTGGATAGATCACGCACCATAGTGTAAAAGGGAATCTTCTCCCTCCTCTGACTTGAACCTGTGGGTGTTCAGTAAGTGGGCACACCACTGAAATGTAGCTGGCTGTGTTTTCTCCTTGAATGTGTGTTTTTATGTGAGCTTCTTGATGTGTGTGTGTGTGTGTATAAGCCTGTACTTTCTTGTGAATATAGGTGCTATGTGTGTGTTGGCATCTGTAAAATGCTGTGCAGGAGTTTGTTTGGTGCCCACATGTGGGTTGTCATGGTTACAGGGTGGCACACGTGTGTGGGTGCTTATTGTGAGTCAGGGATCCGGCGCTGTAAACTGGGACTTCACCGGCTGGCCGGGCTTGTAGTTTGACAGAGCTTTTTTTTAAAAATGGAAACAAAAATGTGCTTTTGTTTCCAAGAAAAGAATAATTTAAATGACAAAGAACCCAAAGCAGCAGCTCATTCATCATAACCCACCCATTTTTAGCTGTTGCGCTGGTACACAATGTAAGTCCAGGAACATTCATCATAATAAACGTTGAGGCTCTTGACTGAGCTCCAAGTAAAAGTCTGCTTTATTTTACTTTCAGCCATAACTCACTTTATAGTGTTGAGTATGTCTGACACGCCACCACCGCTGAGTGTGAGGAGGTGAGACAGAATGTATTGATTAATAAGAAACTATGTGGCGGATGTCATGTCTTTATTTACTGTATTTACTGCTTTTATTGCTTCTAGTGTCACAATAAGCAGCATGGATAGATGCAGCAATGGAATAGATGAAGGAGACTGATTTGTTTCAGCAGGGGATGCAGTGTGCATACAGAAGAAAGAAAGAAGAGGCAATGAGTAAGAAGGACAAACTGACTTTGCCACAGGTGCTAGTCCACCCCAGAATGTGGCTTGGGAGTTGAAGGGTAAGAGAGTGAGAGGCAGGAAGGTGACTTTGATCAGACGGAGACGAAGGGAGAGGCAGAGAGTTCAGAGGGGAGCAGATGGAGGGGTGAAGTGAGGAATGTGTGTTGGAAGGTCAGATGGTGATGCAGGAGCTTCTGGGCTGAGGTGGGAGGCACTTTTTTTTTTGCCACTGTTAAAATGTTCAGTCTCATTCAGAGAAACATAAAAACTACGCTCACGTTCTCATAAATGTTTAACAATAATGTGGCCATGCACTGTGTATACCTACACTTAGCCGTCCACTGTATATTCCCATGCCATAGTTATTACTGGCATTTAAAGAATGAATTTTTAATTGGTGTAATTTAATGATTTTTAAAAAATAACTATTTGTTTTTATATGTTTGTTTGAGTTTTATGTACACAAATAGCTGTAGGGTAACAGGGAGAGATACTGCAGAGATGCATTCCAGTGCAGCTGCCTAGTGTGATGATCAAAGAAAATGAGCGCACACACACACACACACACACACACACACTTAGAGGCAGATTCTGTTGCGTTCAGAATGTTTGAAGAGCAAATAATTCATCTTTGGCAAAATCTCTAGTGCAGTGCTATATGTTCACATGATTATAGAACCGGTTGGCTGACCCACAATAACACATAAAGTTTTACATCACCTCCAGCCAGATTTCCATAAAGCCTCCCTGGTTGTGGCTGCTTATGTGGGTCATTTCATCACAGGTAATAAGGTTTATTTTGCTCCACAAAGGCCAGTTGGGTTTTATTGCACCGAGTATATGTGTTCATTAAACATTCTAGTAGGTAATGTCCAGAGGTGCACACCGCTGTGTGGTCAGATATTTGTACATTTATTGTTCACGCAGACCCACACATGCAAAGACATTAGGAGGTTTACTGCCTGGTTTTTACACTCATAAAGAAACCTCGTCTGGAGGTGACTGCTCCATAATTTCCTCCTTAGCTTTTTTTGTGTTCATGTTACAGAACAACACACATGATTTCAAAGCATCTTTGTGTCCTGTGTATTTATTATTTTGAAAGTGGATGACGGGAGGAATGTTTCTAAATCCCACCTTCATTTCTGACTGTCCGTGTGGAGAGATCATCAGCAGGATCTGTGTCATGGAGTCTGGGTGGGAAAAGGACTGGGCGGGGCTAGGTTTTCAGCATGAAGCGCTCGCCCCCCTGTAGGTTTGAAAGGTGGCTGTAAAATGTTTATTGTCAGCTCCATCATGGAGAGCGGAGGCTGTGGTCAGGTGGGATTCACGGTGGTCACACTGGATTCACATAGTTAGATGATTTTGTGTGGAAAATAAAAGTCACTACTTCTCCACTGTCTGGCCATTTACTGCTATTCATTTATGCTACATTTTGTTTAGGAACTACAGAATCAGGCGAGTCAGTTAGGGAGCTAGGATTAAGTGGCTCTGACCAGTGGAAGAGGACAAAGCTCTTAACCAGTGAACAAACTAATGCTTGCAACCTCGACAGAGATCAAAGCAGTGAATTGCAATATATTTTTAAAAAATATATGTGTGTTTGGAACATACTGAACATACTGAATGAATACTTTTCTGCCATAAAAACATTGATCCAAGCAAAATCCAGGATGACCACAGCCTCTGTTCTGCCTGACAGCCATCTTTCAAACATACAGGGGTTGAGTTTTTCACAGTCAAAATATTTAAGGTGGAATGTCACTTTAAATGTGTTTGGGTTAGTCTAGGTTTAGCCTCTCCAGAGTGAAGGGCATGCCATTTACACTCTTTACAGTGTGCTGTTGTCTCTAGTGAATGATTTCACTACCTACTCAGTCTTGTCTTTCACGACCCTAAACCAGTTATGACCTTAATGTTATGCATCTCTTTTGTTGCAGATGGATCACGTCCAGAAATCTCTGATTGGCCCAGGCTTTGGGCTAACCTTACCGCTTAAGAGGAAGGCTAGTTCCTGCGGAGTCTGTCGACTGAGGTTCAACTCTGAGGTGGGTGTTGTCCTGTGGGAAACACACATTTTGAATTGTTTTTCTTTCAGGGTGCTTTTACAGTAATTCTCACACACACCCTTGCATGACAGTTGAATGCCTGAGGAGGCCTGCCCCTGTTTCTTGGCTGTTTTACTGGTTCTGAGGAGTTAATGCTGCCTCATGCCGTAATTAGGTGAAATGTGCACACCTCTAATGCCCTTTATAGAGCATACATTTTGTGCTCATTATAGAATGATTCATAAACAAGCACTATTAAAGGCTGCATTACAATGTCACCACTCCTATTGCTAACAAGATGGTGTAGCAGCACAGGAGTCATTGCCACAGAAAATACATGGAAAACAGAAAGAATGTGTAAATGTAAACACAAAGGGCGGTTTAATTCCAATATTTACAATTGCAACTGATTTAAGCAAGCATTTACATCAGAAACACAGCAAACTTTGATTTACTTGTTGCCTGTATAGTAAAACATCTGTCAAAGTGGGAGTGATAGAAGCCTTTAAAACTTTATGTTAGTGTTTTTATTCACATGAAAGTCATGCATTGTGGCTTAAAATGAAAACATTTTCAGGCTCACATAACTAAATAATTGTGATCAGTTGTTTATACCTTCCTGTTTGCTGTTGTGTACACAGGCGCAGGCTTCTTCCCATTATAGTGGCACCAAACACACAAAAAGGCTGAAAGCCATGGACACCCCAGATTCAAAGATCAGGACCTCTGAACCGGTCGCCAAGGAAACCACATTGCAAATCCTCTCATCACCCTGCTCACAGCCCCCAAGCTCTGACACAACATCAGGAGGTGTGTGTCTCTGCAGGCACGCATTCCCCTGTGTGTATGTGTGTCTTGTGTGTGTGTGTGTGTATGTGTGTACAGACATCAAATGTATGACAGCGTTATATGCATCTACGGCTCAAACCTTCTTTTCCCAGTCACGACTTTAACTCTTTGAAGTGATGAACCTCCTGCTGCTTTGGGTTTCACAGTGAAGAGATTAAAGTTTGAGCATTATCCTCCTTCTTCATGTCTACATTTACTGACCTCCGCTCCTGAGATCAAAAACACATTGAAAATGCTTTGAATATGATCCATGAGTGACTGTGTAGTGTGTGTGTTTGTGCATGTGTGCATGGAATATGTCAACATAAGTGTGGATGTGTGTTGAAGCATTGGCTCCTTTCCCAACATGATGATGTGCTGCTTTTGAATGTGCGTGGGCGTTAGGGAATGAAAATAATACATTTTGCTGCAAGCTAAAGAACAAGACGATTGAAGAATTGTACGTGACATCGCCAATATGAGAGTTTGTTTGTAAGACAGAAAAAGCGAGTGATCATTTCCAGTTTGGAGTTAGTTTCAGCGAAGTGGATGAGATGGCAGGAGAGCTCGCTCAGCAAACAACCCTGTTGGCTTGTAAGAGTGGGGAATCAATGGTAACAAACAGACACCCACTCAGCTAGGCAGAGCTAATCATTGTTATTAGCAAAGAGTGAATCCTTAAATCAGCGCGTGCTCCCCCAGGGAACCTCTTTAAGTCAGTCTCACAAAAGATAATAGAGCCAAATCATCTCTACACAAAACTGTTCGTTTAAGTGCTGTGAGGTCGATCCTAGGGGAAATCATTGATTATCAGTGCGATTAGAGAGGTCGATAGAGCTCATAATCATAATGTAGACTGGCAAGTTATTATCTCTGTCTCTGAGCATGTCACGAAATTGGTGCTTTTTATTATAAGAGTTCAAGAATTTCATAGAAGTGGAAAAAAGTTTATCTCCCTATCATCTGACGTTCTCCATCTCCATCTCTCTTGCTTGCTTTCTATACTCTTTCTGTTTACTTTCTGACTTACGCTGTCTTTATTATGTGGTATCTTTCTATTTCTTCAGAGCCCTCAGCACCAAACCCTACCTTAGAGGCGGCACCATCGAGCGTTGGCTCCTCTGAAACCGTAAAAGCTCCCTATGACCCCTCCCTGTCACCCAGCCCGATGGCACCAGAGAAAGAGACACACAGAGACGGAGAGGTGGAGGTGCCTCCAGTGGAGGAAACAGAGGAAGAGAAAGCTATACGTCTTCTCTACTGCTCCCTCTGCAAGGTGGCCGTCAACTCAGCCTCCCAGCTGCAGGCCCACAACAGTGGTGAGATACTGAAGGTGCTGCTGTTATCGAGTTTAGCTTGTACTATGATACTCTGTTGACGCGACTTTATATCCTCTCAGGCACGAAGCACAAGACAATGCTGGAGGCAAGGAGTGGTGATGGAGCCATCAAGTCCTTCCCGAGGACGGGGGTCAAGGCCAAGGTGGTCGCACCGCCAGAGTCGTCAACTGGACTCCAGAACAAAACTTTCCACTGTGAGATCTGCGATGTGCACGTCAACTCCGAGACTCAGCTCAAACAGGTTAGTTGATCAAAAGGTCTGGGGCTGTTTAGTTGTTATAGTGATTAACGCAGAAAAACTGTCCATGACAGAGATGTGTTTAGACCTATTAGAGAGATTTTGGATGATCCTGCTAATGAATATGCGTGAATAGCGGATCACCAGAAATATGTGGAATAAGTGGAATATTTTGCATAGACGACACAGGATTAGTGAGGCCAAATCTTTATTTTTGCAGAAGTCATTGATTTTATTTTTTTTCAAAACCCAAATTGTTCAATATGTATAAGAAAACACAGCCTGTTGATGCATACACATGTTCTCATGAAAAGCAACTATAGCACAGAGCCTTGTGTGAAACAGAATTGAAACATAAGCCACAGATCTGTGTGTGATACACACTGTACACTACCATGTATGTTTAACAGAAGAGAAAAGGGCTTTAGGTGAGTTAGAGTAAAATGTCCTTGATGTCTGTTATTCTGTGTTTTAGGCAGGAAAACCATATCTGTCATTTCTTTCATATCTTACTTTGCATTGTGATCTTAGATTTAAGAAGTTATGTCCTTGTCTGACAAATGTTTCACCAAGGCTACGGTATTATATTTTAAGGGTGGGGCCCCCTCCAAAGGTCAGAAGATAAATCTGAGGGGTCGTGAGATGATTAATGGGAGAGGGAAGAAAAAAAAGTTGTACTACTAAATATAAATGTATTTTGTGGACTTTCCTCTAATCTTTGCTTACTGAGTTATTTTACCTCTCTGGGCCTCGAACAGTTATGTAAATGAAACCATGTGAGAAATCTAGGGGGAACCGCTAACAACTCGTAGATATCTGGAACATGACAAGGGGCTCCAGTAAAGCTTTTTTTTTTGCAAGAGTTCACAAGCCAAAAAGTTTGGGAACCACTAGTTTAATCTTTAACCATGTGCTGTAAATCAGTGCAATATTAACCTCTGAAATGTATTCAGAGGTTAAGTAGTATATGTGTTTAAGTAAAGATAGTGCCTCAAAATGGCTAAAGACAATAGTTGAGTAAATGTACTTAGTAGATTACACTTAAATGTCTTATATGTCCATGTGTATGTACACTAACTAACTAACTAGCAGAATGAGCACTGGGTAGGAGACACAAGAAACTGGCCCATCACAGTTCTTATTGGTTAGTTCCTCTCATGAATGTACAGCTAGGAAAAGGTCAGCTGTCACGCAGATTTTGCCACTCACACAGTTCAACATCAACAGGGCCATCATCACTTTATCCAGTATGCATTACAGAAAAGGCATTACAGAAAAGGCACTTCAGGACGGCGCATATTTTATTCCCAATCACAGTGTGAACATCTCACACCTGTCAGTGCAGGTGAGTTAAAATCACAGATCCCTCAAGATAATGAGCACAAAGCTACTAAGCCTTGTGTATTTCAGCGAGCATCTGAATCCGATGTTCGTGATATGAATGCACAGTCGCTGGTCTTTATAACTGACTGCTGAAAAAGTTAACTTCAGCCAGGTGCTCATGCATATTTAGCAGTTCACCGCTGATTGTGTGCCTCGCTTGGCCGTAGCCATCTGTTTGTGCTTGTCAATCAAATCAGGAAGATGTCCAAACCCACCCCTCGTGAATATTTTGAATCTCAAAGTCAGAGCCAACAAAATATCAACATTCTTCCCAAATCATCAAAATAGTAAATAATAATAGGAACCTTGATTGGCCTTCCTTTAATTTACTCTTCACTGATTATTCAAATTGACAAGTAAATACGACTGGCATGTTTTATTTCTTTGTCTGCTCTGTCTTTGTGCTCCTGCCTGTGTCTGTCTGGATTTATTTGTCTGTGTGTTTATCTGTTTCTCTCCTCCGCTGCAGCACATCAGCAGCCGGAGACACAAGGATAGAGCAGCAGGTAAACCAGCCAAGCCTAAGTTCAGCCCCTACACTCCCACCCAGCGTCACCAGAGTTTCCAGGCAGTGAGTACTCTGCTGTTGCTTGATTTACTTTCATCCCTCATCATTGTGTTCGTGTACACGAGTTGATTCTCCAGAGCCTCCTCCAGGAAACTCCACTCCCTACTTCCAATGAGACAAATCGTCTGCGATATGGGCTGACGAATCTTCTGTCTGAAATTCTTTTATCCAGTGATGTTGTAAGAGGGACAAAAAGGCAGATTACGTTAGAAAGGAGAGCAGATTCATGATAAGATTTGTTTGGCAGGAACTGGGATGGCATGTGCTTCTGTTGGCCAAGTAGCTGCTAAGACTTTTAAGTGCTCAGTTTCCTTTTGTGGGAGAGAGAGAGAGAGAAAGAAAAACCTTGATTGCAGTTTGTTTGTCTGTGTTTCCAACTCAGATTCGTCTGGCTCTAAGGACGAACCAGGACCTGACCAAACCTCTGGCCTCGTGTCTCCTACAGCGTCAACTCTCTGTTAACTCTCTTTCTGTTGCTGCTGCTGCTGCCATGGCGACGCTGCCCTCCTTCTCCCTCCGCCATGCCTCAAACCCGAGCCCCGCCCTGTTTCAGAATCAGCCCCTCCCCCAGGCGCTGCTGCATCCAGGCCCTGGACCCATCTGTTCAACACACACACCGGTCCTGTTTTCCCCCTACTGACCCCATCGACATTGCAATCAGCTCTGAACTACTGCTAAAAGCAGACCTGAGACCTGAACAAGATGTGATATAAGACAGCGCTCACTGTACTCCACACAACAACACATGCTGTGAGTGTCATGGACCAGGACTGAAGATCATTTGCTGGGGCCAAAACCATGAGGCAGGTTGGGATGGAGGAAGTACATTGCAGCAAATGAATGTGTGTTTTCTGATGAGGGCGTGTGTGTGTGTGTGTGTGTGCATGCGCAGATATAGCCATCACAGAAGTACAATTTGTTACATGTTTGCTGCACTACTGCATGATTCACCCAGTCATAAACAGGATTTGTAAATGCCGATAATCTATTTGACAATCAAGAAAGTCCCTCTTAAAATGGACAGTTGAATCCAGTACAGATATTAGAAAGATGCATCATGGTGAACTTCCATGATGACTATAACTGTGTGTGTTTGTGTGTGCAGATATAAGTATGAATGGCGATCACAGCATGCTTGACTGAAGATGTTTATTATTTTCCAATAAACAATAGTTGTGGGTACTCATATTTGATTCCAGAAAATTCTTTATAATCATAGCGGTCATTGTTGAAAATGGCTCATAACACCAAATCAATGCTCCAAAACGCACATTTTATTTAATAAATAAGTGCACCATCTTTTCAATGAAATGTGTCATTCAGCATCAAAGACACATCTTTGTACCGACAGACTTACTAAATAAGATGCATATGCTGTAACACACATCTGTCAGTCTTTCCAGCTCCATGCGAACGTTTTCACCCTGACACTGCCAGAAATGTAGACGCCGCTGAGACGTAGTCAAGCATCACCCCCTCCTGAACCCCATAACTCTTTGCATTCAGACACTGCACCTAAGCCTATTTCATCCTCCTTTGCTACTTAGCAGCACGCAAAAACAATCTTTCCTTGGTCTATACTCAGGTATACCCCCCAAAAACACCCTAAAAGGATCCATAGCCTTTATTTAGCTTCTGAAGACTTTGAACACTTTTAAACTATTTATCACTTAAGAGACACAGATAAACCTTCACCTGCCACCGCCCGCCTGCATTCCCTCCAGCTTCGCTCTCTGAGATCAATCAAAGCAGGAATGTTCTGTCTGACTTTATTGTCTGTCTTTCTGATGAGGTTTACTACGCTGTAGCCCCAAGCAACGTGTAGCTCATTTCGTAAGGTTAGGTTTTAAAAGGAAGTTAATTTTGGAAGTCTGTAGGTATATATATACAGAGAGAGTAGACTTCTGCTTCAGTACAGGCACTGATCTCAGGAGCTGAAGTGTGGTTTACAGTGGACGCACCTCATGCAGACTCTCACATTTTGTCTCGGGGTGTTGTTTTCTCTTGTTTTTCTGACTTATCTGAAAATGAAACAACTGTGAATTATTTTAACCGTGACTACATTTGTGTGATCAGTGTCCATGCTGATGTGATCTGAAGGATGGTTATTTTAAACTTTCTCAGAGGTCGAACTCCATCACGTCAGAGGGCTGTGAGATAGCTGCCTTTTCAACTTTCTGCAACCTCTCAGACTATCTTCTTATTCTGGTCTTTCATCAGCCAACTGACACCAAACTGGATTAATTAGTTAGATATTTTTTGCTTCTGCATCCCAAAGGCGCTCCAAAGGAAATAATTCCACAGGCCAGTTCAGAGAATTATCATCCAATCAATCACCTCCTCCTGATTCTCCCACTTGTCGCAGCAGTCATTATTATTATTAATTGTCTGGGGTGATGATTGTGAACATCTGTGTGTGGGATGCTCAATTCTCCACAGACTGTCGGAATCCAGACCTCCTCTGGCCCCTTAATTCCCTGGCTCATTCCTTCGCCAGCCTTCACTGTCTTTTCTCCTTCACTTTTTGTCATCTTTCTTTCGTTATCTCACAATACGTTCATGGCTACTCCCTCCACCGCCTTTTTCTGTCTCTCACCTCCACTGTCAAATTCATGGCGGGCATGCTCACATGCACACATAAACATATGTCAGCAACACAAAAGCCTTACTTGGCATCCAGGGAATTCTTCCCTCTCTGCTACCTGGAGAGAGTACAAAGGTACAAAGCAGAGCTGTGCCATTTGAGGGCAGCTTTGCTTGCTGTTCGCATAGAAAAAGAACAAGTTCTTGGCATGATGCAGCATTTTGACTTCTGCACATTGCACTTTAATTCAAACCATAGAGCAAAGGTGGTCATGGATAAGTGCAATGAGACTACCACTAACAGACATGAGGGAAGTAAAAAAAATTTTTTTTATGAATTTTAACTTAAAGTCTGCATTAAGTGCTGTATAAATAAAGTTCATTAAGTCAAATAAACATCCAGAGGAAACTGAAATATATTACCAAAACACCATTATTACTTCTAAGACAGTTAATTAAAAGTATAGTTCAGCATTTGGGAAATAGACATCTTCTTGACAAGAGTTAGATGAGAAGAAAGATACCATGCTGGAGCCAGCAGCCCATTAGCTTGTCTGAGCATGGTAGTGATGGCGCAGTAGATAAGACACAAGCCTTTAGTTTGAGAGACCCAGGTTCTATCCCCCACATCCCCCACATCCACCAATTTGTCCCTGAGCAAGACACTTAACACCAGTTGCGACCTCTGACATATATAGTAATTGTAAGTTGCTTTGGATAAAAGATTAAATAAATGTAAAAGTAGCATAAAGACTTGAAATGAGGGAAACAAGCTCTGTAATAAGTATTTGCCTATTATGCCTGACCCATCCTGAGACCTGCTTGTTGTTGTGTTTGACCATGTGGTAAACAGCAATCTCAGCGTCTTAAACCAAAGTATTGTACATCTAAAGGTTGCCACTCCTACAACACAAGACCTGTAAAAGCTGCCTTTGTGACATGTTTCTCTAGCTCTAGTGGGTGAATAAAAGGTGAGTGGGCAGAGGGGATCTGTGGCATAAGCTCCATCTGTCTGGTTCATCACGCTTCCACGGTTGTCCTGGGAGCAAAGGTTGAAAGGTCAGACATCTCTCCAAAGTAGCAATTGTTTCTCTTGCAGCACCAGACCGGATTTGTTGAGAGCCTGTGAGGCTTTCTTGTCCTGCAGAGGCAGTGCGGTATGGCATGGAGCAACACATCCATAAACAGAGGGGATGTTGGCTGAAGTAAATGGCTCAGCAGGGTGTTCAAGAGCAGGCTGCAAGGCATAATGACCAAGCTGCACCACACGCAGAGTTGATTTTCTGTCTGTGGCTCAGTGCTCCTGTTGTGTTTTTTTCAAAGGGACCAACCTCCAGGTTGGTTTCTTTGGCAATGCAGTCAGAGATTAATGTTCACACCCATAGAGGGGAAAATTTGCAATATTGAAATACACTGTGGGGAGTTCCAGTTATAATAATCACTGGTGAGTGAATAACCAAAACATATTGTTACATTCTTTATTAGATGATTAATTGTGTTATAATGTGGGTTTTAGAGGGCATTTGAGGCATTTTTGGACGAAATACTCTTAAATCTAACACTGACTGTCAGCCAGACTAGATTTAATGTTGTGCTTAATACAATCGGGTACTTGCTGTTTTAGTTTAAGGAAACACCGTGATTTAGGCTTCAATAAAGACTGACATTGTTTATATAGATTGGTTTGTTGTTAGTATAATGTCACTTAGTCTCCTGGACTTGATGATCTTTATGGAAATAAGTCTTGCACTTTACTGCGTGATCTTGACATTCTTCATAGATGTCCTTTATGCACTCCTTCTTGTAATATCAAATAATCTAAACAAATTTTTTTTTTTATAAAGATGTAGGTGGCTGTCTGGTCATCTGTCCTACTGTCCATCAATCTGAGACCCATACAGCAAGTCACACTTTGACTTCCTGAGCTGTTTCTGTCTTAAAGGTTGCTTTTGGGGTTGATTACACAACCTGTGTTATGATTTCATTACCATAAATTGTGAGTATGGCACCATACGCACATTTTCCATATTAAAAAGTCGGCCTGTGTTTTCTTGGCCCCAGCTGAGGCGAGTGCACAGATTAGAGCTAATACTTTTCATCTGGTTAAAAAAGCAAGATGATCTTTTCATTGGCCAGTCAGACTGTCTGGACAGTGATGGGTGAGCTAGAGATCTGACTGGACAGAGATGAGTTTGTGATCTCTTAATAATGAGATCAATGCATAACATCAGCAGCTAAATAGATTTGTACTAAAAAAGGCAATGTGTTGATGTTCGTAGTCATCTGATTTTTGTATCTACATGTGCCCTAATTTATCTGGCTGCCACAATGCTCAATCCATTTTTATTTTAATCAGTCTCTCTTATTCTGTCCTTTTTTATGTACCTGTGATAATAAGTTCCTCTCTAGGCATCTGACACGTGTGCAGTCAGGGGTGGCATTAAATGACTGTGTAATGGTTTTGTCCATTAAAGCAAGCTGATCTAAAACCTGTGGAGTCCCTCTGGTTGTCTATCGTCTTTTCTCCCTCCTTCTCTATCTCTCGTTTTTTTTAATACAGACAGACTAAAAAAAACAAACACAACACTTTCATACACAAATGCCCCACTCACTTTTTCCCCACTGTGAGGCAACAGCTGTAACATTTAGTAGCTTTTAGAAAGAATAATACACCTTTTAGATAAACACAAGTGATCTTATTATTAAAACAGTGAGTCATTACAGCTCTGTATGGCTCACTTAGTGACAGAGCACTCATATTTGCAACACTTACAACGGCTCCTAACATGGGGTCTTAAAGTACACGTATGTATGAAAACGTATGATGTTAGCTGCAGTTTAGATGGGATTTTCAACTGTAATAAAATATTCTTCATTTTGTTTGTAATAAAGCTGAAATGCTACATACCATGCATATGTAATATGGAAATAATCCCAGTGAGAACATGCAAAGTGCCAGATATTTGTGAGGAAAAGCCAGCTAAATCAACACTTGTCAGTGTGCTTTTGTCATGGGTCTCACCCGAAAGGACAGACCTGTTTCACAGCTGAGGTGCCGCGCTAAAGTCATTTGTTTTCAGTGGGTGACACTCACAACACCCAAGTTTTACCAAATCCACTTCGCTAGCCTCAATATGCCATTCAGTTGGCTGTCATGGACACTTTATTGGCTATTCGCTGACAGAAGGCCCAAATGGATGTTACATTAGCTGCAGTGCCATACAGGAAACGTGCAAGTTTCTCCCATGCACACTGCCAAGTAAGACATGCCTGTTTGACTGAGTTGGGAAAGTAAATGAGATCATGACTAGGTATTCAGTGTAATCCAATATTTACAGAACATTTATGGAGCAAACCCTTAGAAGGGTGGGTATGGGTACTTATGGCATGGAAGCAGGTATGTAGGCCCTATGTAAAAAAAAAAGAAAGAAAAATAAGATAGGAGACTGGACACTGGAGCATCGTGTCACAAGACGTACTAGCCCAAATTAATATTTGCATTCATCTAATAATTGACTTTCTTTCTGAGCTACTGTGTAATCTAAGTTTGCATAAGCTAAGAAGGAGTTTAAAAGAACCTCAAGGAATATGACTCAAACATTGCCTGTCAGTGGGCTTTTAGATTAATTAACACAATTATCAGCTCTATCCACATGCAGCAGAGCACTTCAGAGCACTGCTCAAGCTCTTATCTTCAGCAGTCAATTATAAATACTCAATTAGTCATTTTGGAGGGGCTGAATGAGCCTCTTGATGAGTATTAATCTAATTTCCATTTTTAAAGACATTTACTATACCTTCATTTCCCAGTGGTGCACTTTGCTTTGTTTGTCTTCTACAGTCTGGGAGACAAACAGAAAAGGTGAAAGGGGGCTGATTGAAACGCCAACAATTATAATTAGATAGTTGGTGTGCTGCGTGGTAGTCTACTGTTTAGTCTCAGAGGATCAAAATTTGCAGACGAATAATGAATATCAAATCAGTTTCATTTCCTCTGCTCTGCAAGGAAATGTACTGTATTTTCTGCTATGCATTAGCGCCATCTAGCGAGCGGTCACTTCACTTGAAGGAAGTGACGTCGTGTCAAATTCCTACCAATTACAGTCGCAGCTCAATATTCGAACATCAACACGAAGAGAAACGCGGATGAGCTGTGAAAAATGGACTGTTTTGCTACCTAACTTTACTGCCTAAAGCGTTTTGCTGAACTGATAATTTACATGCGAAATAGCTTGGTGATGTACACATGGTGGTAAGTTTAATTTTACGTTGTTTCCAAATATGACGCCATACTGCAACTAACGTTACTGAGGATAGCTTGTTGGATTGACTTAAGTTAACGTTAAAGAGCGTGCTAGCCAAGTTAGCACGTTAGCTTAATCATTTGTTTTTCCAATGGTTATCTTTATGCTACGCTATTTATAACTTGTATACCGTAAAAACAACTTTGAACTAATAGATCCAGAACCATGGCGAGAGAACGAGCCCAGAAGAAGTCCTTCCAGGAGAGCCTGGAGGACATCAAGGACAGGATGAAGGAGAAGAGGAACAAACGGCTGGCTAGTGCCTCAGCTCCCAGCAGAGGACGGTCCAGAATGCTAAACAAATGCAGTGGTAAGGAAATGCTTTAACCACAATTATCGTTGCTGAAATCAAATTATGTAGACTTAAATTATACTCTTGTAAATGCCAAACTGTGGCATGGACAGATGCAGATATGCAGAAGATGTTGACATGAAGATGTGCCTTTAACCAGCAAATAACATCCTAACCATAATTTCTCCCAGGGACTAACTCGACCCACACCATCCTGAAGGGTGTCCAGGAGAACAACAAGGCACTGGCCTTAGGTTTGCAAGCTGAAAAGGAAAAAGTGAGGCAGGCCAATGCAGTGATCCTGCAGCTGAAAAGGGAGCAACAGGCCTTGTTCCTTCACCTGCTTCTGCTCAAGAAGAAACTCAAAGAGCAGGAAGCTCTGGCAGTGAGTGCTCCAGAGGTACGCCAAGAAGACCTGCGGCGTGTCCTTTGTTTGGTACTTGTAAATGATTGTAAACTACAGCGTACCATTGTAAAATAAATATTTTATTTCTTTGTTTGTTGATTCAGACTAAACCCCCAAACATCCTTGTGGAACCCCAACACAATGTGGATTCTGCAAGGTAATGTTTTAAAATAAAAAAACAAATCGCATAAAGTTTTTATGCCATCCCTTATCCTGAGTTTTATAACTTATCAGGATGTTTTACCTCTTAATTTACAGGAAGCGGACCAGCCAGAACCCTGATGAGCCCATTGTATGCAAAGCCTCAATAGTTTGTGCAGGTACACACACACACACACACACACACACACACACACACACTCATGTGTTCACATACAACGCGATAACGCGAATAAAGTACAGCTGTATGAACCCTAAACATTTTGCTGTGATATAATTCCAATAAACGGATCAAACTGATGCCAAAATAACTACAATATGATGCTGATTTGTTAAACATGAATTCTTGCTTTGTCAGGTCTGTCAGCAAGACAGCAGGACAACAATTTTTTAAATGTTTGTTTTCTGAATGGAGCTTGGATCGATCAGGGCTATGCTAACTTGTTTACAGTAAAGTACAACGATAGCTGGAATAAAGTAACTGATGGTTAAAGTAGTCCAGGTAGTTCAACTTAATCACTTTCCTTTCTCCAAGCAATGTCCAGTTTTGTCTGATTTAAAATAATAATAAATAAATAAATAAATAAATATATATATAATATGAAGTAGTAGTCCAACAGAGCTCTGGGTGCCAACCAACGCTAACAACAACCACCGGTACCGGAAATACACAGAAGCTTCCTGCATGAGAAGCACAAGTGAAGATAAATCAACGTTGTAATCCCAAAAACTAAAATAAAAAGTTAATTTATTGAAAGCAGTTAACTCTGAGCTCCTCTTGCAGGTAAACGGCGTAGTTGTCAGAGCAGAATTCAGACCGACTGCGGGTGTTTATTTGTCCAAAAGCTGCAGCGCTGCTTCCGGCTCTTTCTTCTCAACTTTCCCGTAGTTTAGCTGCAGCTGTCTGTCGGCCACGGCATTTTACTCCCCCGCTCTTCCTGGTCCTCTCCAAACAATGCTCTGAAACCGTCGGTGATGTCCGGACAATCTCACCACTCATAGGCTTTCGCAACATAGTGTCATGTGAATTTCTCGCTCGAGTTGAAAAATTTGAACTATAATATGGAAACTGTTGTGTGCTGGTTCCATTCTAATGTTGATTTTTGTGTCATCTTCATAGACATTCAGCCCACTGAAAAGAATGCACAATCTGAATGTGACAAGCAGGTTACCTTGCCATCTACAGTGAGTGTGAGGCGTCGTCATGCAGATAGAAGAAGCAGGAGGATGTCTGAACGTGTGCGAGAAAAGGGGTCAATGAATGAGGGGGACCCCATCGCAAGTTTGGGTGCTTTAATGGCAAGTCCTATTCACAGTGATGATAGAAATCCATATCAGCCACAGGAAGGAGCAGAACCACAATTAGCAGACCCCACTGACACTGAGGAATTTCAGCATTCTACTCCTGGACCTGCCCCACCCAAAAAAAACAGCCAGCAGCTGCCCAGCAGGAAGCAAGCCCAGCAGCAGCGCCGCACCAAACCAGAGGCGGCTGCACGGAAACCAGAGAGAGGTCGCAAACCAGAGCGTGCCCCGTTAAAGAAACCTTGGGAGAATCCCAAACCCAGAGCCCGCTCCAAGAGTCGGGACCGGTCAGCCACACGGGCCAAAACAGCACCTCTCTCGCAGGGGAATAAACTCAACACCTCTCTGGGATTTAATGACACGTTTGACTTTGACTGTGAAGAGACAGTTCATGTCGCACCGTTCAGGGCCAAAGCAGAGGACCATCCGCCGGCCACGCCCATCAGCAAAGACACTCAACCAAGAGAACAAGCCCAAACGGAAGCTTCACCTGCAGTTTCCAAACAGGATGAGTCCAGCTCATCATCACCATCTTCTGAATCAGAGGACAGCCTTTATGTCCCTCAGAAGACCAGACAGAGACGAACGTCCACTGACACGACTAAAGTGATCGCCACTCGTAGAGGCCGGCCGTCTAAAGTCGTCAGAAAGAAAGAAAACATCCCTCCAAAACAGGAGGTCTCTGGTGAGCTTTTAGGTGGTGGTGGTTAAGATGGTTAACTTAATCTCAACTTCATGTTTAATTTGTGGTTATTCTCTTTGTTGAGTTTAAATGGATATAATTAAACAATTGATTTAATTGTTTCGTGTTTTGTAGTCTTTAGAGATGAGGAGGCCAGTCCTAAGGCTGTAAAACCTGAAATGGAAAGAGCTCCTCTCCATCACCCCCCTGACTCTAGCTTCTCTAATAGCCCTGACCCTGCGAGCTCAGGACAAGAAAATCACCAAGGTGAGCAAATGTTCAAGAACATGCCGACTGTGTGTGCAGTGTTCATTTATAGTGCTCAGGTTCTAATGTCACTGAGGAAAACATGGTGCTGATATTTATTCATAGTTTGTTTGCATCATTCTTGATAAGTCTTTAGGCAGTAATAATAAGTAGGCAACACTTATTCACAACTTGGTCCATTGCTTTTTATATACCATTGTCCATCATGCAGTGTGGATGCACTTGTTTTGATAGGATGTTTATTTTTATCAAGCTGAGTATTCGCTGGGTTTCTCCAAGCTCCATCATAAAATGACTAACTATAGCTCTAAAAATTATATGATATAAAAGAGGTGATAAAATTAGGTGCTTGCCTTCAGGCAGTGTGATGTCAACAGATGCATTATAGACATCCATCTGTTAGCCAGACACCTCTGACAAGGAGGTTTGTCATATTCCTGTTGAATGGATGCTTACTCTAAATAATGAGAAACACTGGACCGGTGATATTGTCTATACCAAAGACATTGGGATTAATTGTAAAAAAAATGTTAAATGGCTTGTTTTTTGGGGCTCGAGTGTCTGTTTTTGTTGAAGGTATTTTGTGAATTAAAGAAGGCTACATGTGTTTGCTTGTCCTGGTTTTTCAGAGCCTCACAGAGGGGTTATTGAGAAGGATTGCTTGCTCCCTGTCAGCCCCCTGGTTGAAGCTGAGATGATGAGAATAGACAGCGTCCTGTCCAATTTTGGAGATTACGCCTGTGAAGCGCCACCTCTTTTACACCACCAAACGCCCCAGATGGCCAGGACATGCAAGAAACGTACGTGTATTTGTCACACTCCAAACCTGCTTGACAAAATAAAATCTCGCTGTTTGACAGCTAAAAGACAAGAGCTTCGTCACAACGTCAGGGAGCACTTGGGAGGCCAGAGCACATTTTCACTGTATTGTCACTTCAATACACACAATTCCTGTTTTCTTGCTTTTGGATCACATCTTCATTCACGTTTCTACAGGTGGGCTTGGTGTAAGGACAGCGGGGCGGGGCTTGAGTCTGTGTGATGTGACCAATCTGTCCCCTGCAGCCCAGCGCAAGTTCTCCCGTGGTGGCCCACGTCCCTCTGATGCCCGATGCGCCACCCCTGTTCCTGCTCGCAAGCGGCGTTGCACCATGGTGGTGGACTACAAGGAACCCACGCTAAATGCGTAAGTTCACACATTGATGCTGCTCTTAATGTAAGTGATTGAAGATGTATTTAGTTTTTTTACTGTATGAATGCTCAGCAACACATTCCCATCTCGACAGGAAACTTCGGCGTGGAGACAAGTTCACAGACTTGCAGTTCCTCTGCTCTCCTATTTTCAAGCAGAAGTCTGGCAGGAGATCTGTGCAGAAATCAAGGAATTCCACGAGCAGCCAGCCGCCATTTGATAAGTACAATGAGTCATTTGTTGGATGTCGCTGAAAGCAGCTACCTTGTTTGTCCCCTCTGAACTCTGGCATGGTCAGTTTTAATGTGATTTTTCTTTTTTGTGACAATTGATCATTTTGTTTTTAGGTTTTATTTCTTTGTGGTGAAGAACTGTCAGTTTTAGATATTATTTTTGACTTTGTTTGTTGCTTATTTTGCAAAGCTATAGTCTTTCTTCTCACCTATTTCTCTTTGTTGTCTATGGCTATTTTGCGAAGATGGCCAGATTTTCCAATTCTATGTCACCACCTTGAAGTCTGTATGTTTTTTATTATGAGAACCTGAATATGAGTGTATATATTATTGTCATCTAATAAAAATAAATCTCCTACTGTGTGATGTGACAAACATTTTTTCCATTAATATTAATGGCTGTGGTAGAATGACAAGACTAGAAAAACTTTTAATGTCCTTAAGTTGAAAAACTTCAGATACTAAATTAGCCTCACTTCTGTTTTATTCAGTCTATAAAATAGGCTAATCCTATGTCATTAAAACCAATTGTACAAAGAGCATGAAATACTTTTTCCAGACATATTACAAAATGTATTTTTTTCCCCTAAAGTTTGAAAAGTACAAACACTTTTTTACAAAACAGCAAAACTACACAGTATTGCACAATCTTTTCATGTATCTCCAAAGTATAAAGTTATCAATCTCCATCTGCAGGACAAAAATAAGAATAAATTAAGACCTTGTCTTTAGCATAATTTGTTTAAATTACAGCACATAAATAAGAATAAACTCTAGGTAATTGGATTAGTCCTTAGTCAACAGTGGTAATTTATATGGAAAACATAAGAATCTTTAATATTTATGTTAACTAATACTTGGAAAAATAAAAGTGCATTTCGATAGTCAATATAGCCCTATGCGGCTTATTGGGGGAAAAGACAATTGGTTTTTTTTTTAGTTCTGAAACAGAAAATATATGTTATATACACATTTAAAATATACAATGGGTATAAGTGCTTTAAAATAATTAAAATCTGTACAAATTTAAAGTACGTATTCCTCTTTTGGCAGGATGAACTCATCACAGACAAACTTTGACCTCATTAACGCTGCGCGCGCTCACAGCAACACAGTTAAATTGACCAAAAAGCCACTAAACTCACAGGTAACACTTGTGTAATGAATTAATACACTGTAAGATGTGATTACTGCTCATGACAACTCAACCTGAGTCAACTGAGAAGATGAGGCTGGCGCTCAAAAAAAGGCAGGGGATGAAAGTGTGGAAATAAAGTAGAGGAGAGACGGAGAGATCCAAAGTAAGGTGTATGGTGAATCTCCAATCAGCTGTCATTCTGAGTTGCCTTTCAACGTTTAACACAAACATAACAAGCTTTCTGCCCATGTATTACTCTGACACCTTCCACTGTCCTGTTTTGCCATGGGACTCTGGGACACGTGATGAAATATGAAGACAATGCTTCTGTTGCTTAATGTCAGCAACAATCTGGCAGGCCTTTCAATGAGGCCTTCCCTTGTGGTCTATCATTCAGTGTAAATATCAGTCTAAGCTACTGATTCAGGATCTGGGCCGGCTTGCATCAAACATTAAAGGAATGCTGATCTGAGACCCGTTCGCACCTTTACATTAAGATATGTGTGTCTGAAACCTAACTGTTCCAGAATCAGTAGTCCTATTCTTATCTCCTCTGTGCACATAGCTGTCTTTTGCATTTCCCATAACCTAACCTTAACCATTTATAGTCTGAGGACTGAGTCATCCTTTGTTAAGGTGAGGAGAAAAATTCTTCTTCCTCCTCTTCTCATCTCTACTTCTATATGAGGCCTGCTTCTTTGATCTTGGTGTAGAAGAATTTCTCCAGTAAGTTGGCACACTTGTAGTACTCGCTCTCAGGAGGGTTGTATTCGCGACAGTTGGTGAAGATGCGCTGCATGTCCGCCTTGAACAACTTGCGTGTCGTGTAGTACCTGCTCTTCAGACGCTCACTCATTGTCTTAAGGTCTGTGAGGGTGAAAAAGAAGTGAGATCTTTGACATGTCAAAGGTTGAATATGTAAGCTACCAAACACAGAGCTCTCCTCTTTAGGCACAGAGGACACATTTCAGAAATAATTTCATAAATAATTAGATCTGCTTATAGGCAAGTGTGTTCCACTTTCAATCCTCTGCTCCCTTGTCAGATGACAGTAACCGGTATAATGTATACATACCCATGGGGAAGCGGATGACTTGGTAGTACCCAGGTGCTTCTGTTTTCTTCACCGGCTCCATGAAAGGCCAGGCGTTCTGGTGACTCTAAGACAGGAAGACCAGTTTGATAAGAATAACTTGTGTATGTGTGTGTGTGTGTGTAAAAGGTACTGTGCATGTATACGTATGTGTCTGTCCCTCACCTTCACATGTTGGAGGATGGTCTTCAGAGTGCTGTACAGTTGATCTGGGTCCTTCAGTTCCTTCCTAAAGTACCATAAGGAACAAAAAACAGCATCAAGTTTGTGAAGTAGACGGTGATGACAGTGGGGGTGACAAACAAATGTATTACAGTTAAAATGGTAGTACCAAAAGTGTTTGTGATGCTGTTAACTAGTTTGATATGTCTAGATGTTATATCAAGACATAAATATGAGTGATTTCCAGTTAATGTAAGTTTAGCAAGTTTTATTGTTGCTGACTCTAACTTGTGTCCTCAAGTTAGAAATCCCACCTCTTGCCATTATGGGAATCCAATTCATTATTTACAGAGACCCAACAATTCCCACCATGAGCAGAAACCTAGACTCAGGGTGGGCAGCCACCTGCCTCGACTGGTTGGGTTGAGCCAAGTCATTGGGTGAATCAATGGAAAGGCACTGTGCTGAGTTCAAATCTTGTACAGTGAAGTCACCCTTACCCTTTGCCCACAGGCTTCCAGCCAGTTTCACCTGTTGGTATACAGAAACTAAATGAATCTCACATATCATACATATGAGCATAAAGATATCCATAAATGTTAAATATGAAAGTGAGATAATGTAAGACAAAAACAGACTGCATACAGTAAAGTCAACAGTGTAAGTAAACATACGTATGCCAGGAATGCTCTCAATAGGAATCTGCCGAACTCCTTCCTTAAAACAGGAAAGCCCTGGATAGACTTTTCGGATCTGAGCCTGCTTCCTCTCTATCAGCTTCTTGATGATCTGAGACAAATAGGTAAAAAAGGTAAGTGAGGACATAAACAGAAAAGGAAGCATTCAAACTTTAAATATGTGATTTAGATGCAAAGGTGCTCACCTCCTTCTGCTTCTTGATAATAACAGAAAACTCTGTGTAGGGAATGCTGGGGTTGAGCTCACAGCCCATGAGTGTGGCTCCCTCGTAGTCCTTGATGTAGCCCACATATTTGGCCTTGGGAACCTTGATGTCCTTTGAGAAACCCTGCGAGAGAGGAGGTTTCTGTTTTCTTGTACCTGTATATCTATATATTACATTTAGACCACCGGGGAATATGCAGGGCTATGCACCCAATACAACAATAAGCCCACTTAAAAAAACCACACAATCTCATGTTTTTATTCATTTTAACTATGAGACTTTCAAGACCATGTAAAAATGAAAAGTAAGTAAAGTACAAATATTGCCAAGTGGTAATAGTTTTATTGTTGTGAAGAAATGTGCCGAGTCAGTATCTTAAAACATGACAGATTCAGTACAATTCTTGAAATAATTGTACTTACACTAGAAACAAAGGAAACCATTCTTAATTTAATTTGTTGCTAGTCATGTAAAGGTTTTAATGCAAACACAGTGGAGAGGTTCAGGAAAGAAAGGGGAGATTGAATATTGCGTCATAATGTTAATGGCACGTAACATGCACTTTAATGGACATAACGCGTTACCTGTTTCTTGAAGTAGCCAATGGCGTACTCATCAGCATAAGTGAGGAAGTTGAGGATTTCATGCTTTATGTGATATTCCTTCAGGTGATTCATCAAATGGGTCCCATAACCCTACAAGAAAAAAAAAAGTCAAAACTGACCAATCGGGTAGCATGAAATCCACACCATGCAGAGAAACAGAGACTGCTCTCACCTTGACCTGCTCGTTGGAGGTGACAGCACAGAAGACAATCTCTGTAAATCCCTGCGATGGAAACATCCGAAAGCAGATCCCCCCGATCACACGGCCATCCTTAATCAGTGACAGCGTCTTGTGCTTCCTGTCAAAAAAAAAAAAAAAATTGTAGTCAGAATGTACCTCCACTTCATTTCTGAATGTGACGATAAAGCGCAGTTACACTCACGGATCAAAGACCAGCCGTGTGATGTACTCCTTTGGCATGCGGGGTAGCTGGTGAGAGAACACGTTCTGGAGGCCGACCAGCCACATCAAGATCCTCTTATTGGGTTTCTGGTTGAGGGAGTTACCGATAACGTGGAATTCAATCACCCCTCTACGCTCCTCTAGACGGGCAGCTTCGTCGCGCGCAGAGTGAGCTGACAGCAGACTCGTCTGCACAGGAAGGAAATTATACAATAATGATGTTGACCTTTGATCCTATCATCACTGTACCTATCAGAAAAATTGCTATACAGAGATCAGCACCCACCTCTAACTATACGTTTATGTACTTTCTACCCTGTCCACCTTTTCCTTTGTAGAGTTATTGCATTCATTTGACCCTAATCCAAACCACGGATAAGGAATAACTGGTTACCTCTGGAATGGCGGCGGGGTCGGTGATGGTTGCCATGACTTCATTGATGAGGTCCATGGGGATGTCGCCCACCACCCTGGGCCTCTTGTTTTCCTCATAGGGGAGCGGCTCCGAGGGTTTACGCTTTTCTCCAACTATGATGCACAGACACAGAGGAAGGCACTCATCCTTATTACATGTCTCTTTTACACCTTCTCACCAGTTGAGCAAAGTATCTAAATCCAAACAAGAAGTTACCCAGCGTTTAAGGTCATCTTACTATGGGGTTCATCTTCAATTGCTGCCTATGGATTATGGCAAAACTGACCTACTTTCAGTACATTAGGAGCAGTTCTGAGGTGTATTTCACTTCTGTTTCTTGATACAGCTTTAAGGCCAAAATCGAAATGAGTATTTGAGGAAACGGGTTAGATACACTTTTTGGACGTTTCATTTCAAAACAAGACTTCTTTGAGGCACTGGACAGACTTAAATGAAGAAGATGAATCTATGTCAGCTACTGAGGGTCACGTGCAAATCCCACAATAACACATAAATGTTCTTTTAAATGAACAACTGGGTTTACCCTGGTGCGGTCCGTTTCCTGTCAGATGTGAGATGTTGTGTAATAACATGGAATTTTTGTAGCTCTATGAGTAATTACAGGTTTCACTGTAATACCTGGG